GCTTATCCGCCTCCTCCGAGTCCTGCCGTATTATGATTCTTAGATAAATTACTGTCGTAGGATTCAGAGTTATTCAGGAACCGAGATCATGCGTATCTTCTACGTCAGCAGATGTTTGAGACCATCATTTTTAAAGCTGCGTAATATTCTATTGTACAGCTAAGCCAGTGAGGTGGGACCCCTACGTGGTTGGACATTTTGGGGTGGATTAAAAAATTTTTTATTATGGCCACATTCACCCGCAAGGGTAGAGAGAATAGCGTAACACGTGTGCCCACCGCCCATCTTCACAATCACCGATTCACAGACAGTCCTGTACCATCGCTACCCTCCCACACACACCCCCACACTGGGTTATTTTGAAGCAAATTCAAGACATCATATCATTCATGCATAAATATTTCAAAACGTGTTTATAGAAGAATGACTCTTTAAAAAATTCGTAAGACCAAAAAAACAACATTAACTCCTTACTAGTCCAGTCTTCAATTGGTGCTCCAGTCCCTTGTGATCTCCTGACATTTTTTCACTTTGTCTATTGGAATCAGAATCCGAATAAAGTCCAATTGGTCGATAGGTCTCTTAAGTTGATTTTAATCTACAAATTTTCCCCTTCCTTCTTTTTCTTTCTTTCTTTTTTTTTTTTCCTTGCTATTTGTCCAGAAACACATTCTGTAGAGCTTCTGCAGTGCGGGCTTGGCTGACTGCATCCCGTGGCATCGCTAACACGTTCTTCCTTGTTCTTCCTGGAAATGGGCAATTAGACCTCTAGCCTTGCTGGGCATTCAGTGTGATCCACCAGACAGCACGTGATGTCTGGCGATGGCAGCAGCCATTGATGGGTCACCGCTGCAATTCATTCATTCGTTTGCAGGTGGTGCAGAATGGTGACTTCCTATGCTGCCTTTGCTGCTTCGCCATTAGCTGGATCAGTCCCCACAAAGGCACACTTCTCCATGTCAACTATTTGGTTACCTCGAGTCCCAGTTTTTAGTAGGAAAGGCAGGATAGATACTTGGTTCTTTCTCTTTATTTACCAGTTTTCAAAATAGGTTGGATTTCTAACATCGTTTAGTGGTGACCAATGAAGTTTAAAAAAAAATTTTATGTATCTAGATGAGGAATTCCGGATTTAAGTGCATTTGATGAGTTTCCTCATGTTTGCAGCTTTATCAGCAGATACAATACTGCAAATCACTAGTGTTCACAGATCGATGCAGAAGTCGAAGGATGCGACTCAGCCAAGCCTCCTGGGGTTGGCACGGGGACTCGGAAGGCTGGAGGACACAGGCCTCTCCCTTGGGGCACGCTCGCCTCTCTCTGGGCGGCTATTCCTGTCCTCTGTCCCCTGTCACACCTGCACCATGATGGCCCCCGCGGTTCTGGTGCTCCTCCAGAGCCACCTCCACAAAGCCCCCGACTGGCCCAGATAATGTTTTCAGGCCGTCTCACACAAATCAGGAAGATGGCCCCCGTGGGTCAGACACCTCCTCCAAAAGATGGAGACAGGCACGTTCGATTTAACACGAATGCGGAGCTGCGGGTGGCACGGATGTGACTGTCTCCGTGCTGCTGCTTTTAAAAAATATATTGAGGTGAAATTCACATGACTTAAAATTAACCATTTTAGTGGACAATTCAGTGGCACTTAGTACGTCCACAATGTGGTGTCACCACCATCTCTATCTAGTTCTAAAATATTTGCATCCCTCCGAAATCTAACTCCATACCCATTAAGCAATTTTCCCCCGAGCCCCTGGCAAGTACTCACGTGCTTTCTGTCCCTTTGAATTTGCCTCTTCTGTACAGTTTATACAAATGCGAGCCTGTGCTGTGTGGCCCTCTGCGTCTGGCTCCTTTCACTCAGCATGATGTTTTCAAGGTTCTTTCATGTCATAGCGTGTGAGCACCTTCCTTTTCATGGCTGAGTAATATTCCACCATGTGGCTGGACCATGTGTTGTTCGTCCATCATCTGTTGATGGACACCTGGCTTGTTTCCACCTTTTGGCCATCGTGAATCTTGCCGCTGTGCACACTGGTGACCGTGGATCTGTGTGAGTCCCTATCTTCCATTTTTGGGGGGACATACTTGGGGCGGAATTGCTAGGGCATGTGGTTAACTCTAAGCTTTAACATGGAGGAACCGCCAAACTCTGTCCCGCCGCAGCCGCCCCATTTGAAATTCCCGGCAGCAATGGACGAGGGGTCTACTTTCTCCACGCCCTGGCCCAAATTTGTCCTTGTCCGGTTTTTCGATGATAGCCATCCTAGGGGGCGTGAAGTGGCGTCTCATCGCGATTGTGATTTGTGCTTTTCTGGCAACTAATGCCGCCGAGCATCTTCTCATGTCCTTCTTGGCCGCCGAACGGCTCGTTCTTAATGCTTGCAAACCATTAATGTCATCTTACGGCTCTGTCCCCCTCTCTGCAGCCAGTCCCCTGAGCGTGGACGCTGGCCTTACTCCCTCCCTGTCAGTCTCGCCGTGACAGGTGATTCTACAGGACACGTGTTATCTGTTTCCTAAGGATAAACACGAAGCACCCAGTGGGTCAGAGGGCTGCATGGTTTTAGGACGTCGGATGTGCCACCCCGCCTTGCGCTTTCGTCGCCTCTGCCGCCAGCTCCGTGTGCGTGCGTGTCCCCAGCAGCCGGCCCTGAGCCCGCCTCACTGCCTTGTATCTTCCAGATGCCTGGGAACCACGCGCCTCCTCCTGTGCCATGAGGCCACCTCAGCCCTGATGCCGCCCTCCCACGTCCACCCAGCCTTTCTCCGCATCCACACCCAGCCAGGCTGCCCTGGAACCGCGAGGCCCGGCCCTCGGCCCCCCTGCCCCGCACCTACCCACCGCCCGAAGCCACTGGCTCCAGTTGCCAACAACCTCTGCTTGTCTGGAAAACAACAACACGAGACGGAAAAGGCTTCAGCCCTCTCTGCAAAACCAAGGCCTCAGCTGCTTTGCAGGCAGCCTCGGTCCCTCCCGCTCTCCTGCCTGTGTGCTTCGTTTTTTTGTTTTTATTTCAAATAGACATTGAAAACAAAAAAAAAAACTACCTTCTGTTCTAGAAGATTCGGACCGACAGATGGGAAGAAGGCCTTGGGGACCTTAGAGAACTCTGCCTCGTCCTTCAGTCGCTGAGAGGCCACGGATGTCATGACCTGACCGCGGGTGGGCTGGGGGGTTTGGTGGGGGGGGGGCTGCCTGATTAACGTTATTTGTCATCCCATCCTGAAGCAGCAAACCACCTGCGAAGCCAGGGGCATCGATTAGGATGATGATGATTTTTGTGATAACAGTATTGTGCTTTTCGTGGGGAAAGTGAGGTTTTGTTTTGTTTTTTTTATATATACATATATAACTGATACCTTTTATTTATTGGTCGTTTTGGGGGGAGGGGCTGCCTGATTAACGTTATTTGTCATCCCATCCTGAAGCAGCAAACCACCTGCGAAGCCAGGGGCATCGATTAGGATGATGATGATTTTTGTGATAACAGTATTGTGCTTTTCGTGGGGAAAGTGAGGTTTTGTTTTGTTTTTTTTATATATACATATATAACTGATACCTTTTATTTATTGGTCGTTAACTGTTGCTGCTGCCTCTGTGTCCGAAGCTCCCGGATGCAGGGCCTGTCGTTTACACGTGCAGCCTTCGCCCACCTGCCCACGCGCTTGGGACGATGGCGGCCGGTAGCGGCCAAGAAGCCAAAACAACTTTGTTTTTTTTCTCTCAGATACCGTGCTTGATCTTTGGAAAGGGGAAAGGTAGGCTTCTTAACCGGCTAATGCACTGTTCCCTCCAGCCCGAATGCCGCCTTCCTGAGCCCCGTTCCTCTGCTCCCCGTCCGCATCCCTCCCGTCCTCTGAGTCCATCGCACCTTTTCTGAGGACAAACGGGGGACATCCTTTGGTTTCTTGGCTCCTGCTTCGGTGTTTGTGGCAGCGTGGAGAATGGAGGGGCTCGTCCTGGGACCGGGAGCCAGGAAGGGGGCGGGGTACGTAAGGAAAGAGTACGAAAGGAAGGGAGAGGGGCATCTTGGCAAGTAAGTGAGCAGAAGTGAGGACTCCTTCTCCCCCCTTGGCGGGTTTGGAAGATGGTCTCTCGGTCCTCTCCCGCTCTGCTTTCCTGCCTTCCCGTCTGCCTGGTCCAGTAGCCACATGGCCTCCTTCCCGGCCCCTCTCTTAGCCTAAATGCTGGGGGAGTCGGGGGGAGAGGAGTACAAGCCGTCTTGTCAGGCATTGGCCTCTTTTCGGGGCTGTGGCTCACGTGCTCACAGGAAGCTTTAGCTCTCCTTGCTCCCAAGACAGAGCGGCCCCAGAACTGCCACCAGGAAAGTCAGCCCAAGGCTGGCCCTGGCTCTGAGATTTGGGGCTCACCCCCCTCCCCACCCTTTCCAGGCCCCAGCTACCCCGTGGCAGAGCCAGGAGGCTGATTGATCTGGAAGGCTTCTTCTATGCTGACTGTGTAATTCCTGCACTTTGCGATTCTGTGGCCTGTGGCTAAGCGTCCCAGACCCCAGCAGACACAGAGAGGGTCTGAGTCACTATTTTGTCTCTTGGCACAAGTCTTCAGGGACACGGCAACCACTGGTTGTGGTGTGTGGGGTCAGATGGCACACCTGTTCCTTCCTGCCATGCTTCCTGGTCCCTCCTGGACTCTTCAGCTGTCTCTTTGGCCCAGAGCTAGTCCTCACCCCAACAAGGCTTCTGGGGTGAGGAGCAGCCTCCCAGACTGCGTAGGGCCAGGCCTGAGTCTCGA